AGGGAAGACAAGTCCATTTTTTTCCCCATGATATAATCAAACAACAGGTTTGTAGTAATACACATATATGCTTACACCAAGCACACTTGCATGTACAGTAACATCTACTAATACTTTATAGTAATTACAAATCCAGAATAACATTTTAAAACTGTACTCAAGTTTCTCCTTTTAACTTAGAAAACCTTTGCTAAGGTTTGAACAACACAAAGTGCATTTTGAGACAACATTTAAGTTTAATAATTGTTTTTACTATTTCCAGGTAACAGTTTTTTGTTTGTTTGTTTTGCTTACCCTTGCCAGAGAAGCTCATCATTAGCAAGATCCTGCCAGACGCACGAAGCTAGACAGAGATCAGTTGCATTCAGGTATGACAAAATGGTAAAACTAAGCTCTGGTGGCAGCATTTCCAAGTTAATGAATCCTTCTTGCTCTTTAGATTTTCTTGTCTTTAATAGATGGTAGATATCAATGCCTCCTTGGGCTTGTTTCCGGTGGCTTGTATTGGAAACACTGTTAGTAGCTATCCTCCTGCCATGTTCTCTGGTAAGATAGCCTTGTCCACTGTACCCTTGCTGTTGCAGTTGCTGGTTCCTAGCAACTCTCCAGAGTCCCTGACCCATCTGCGAGCCTGTTGGACATAAAAATACAAGTTAAACATTCTCAGATATTTAAAAATATTTGTAAGACAGAGTCAGGTCAGATTAGAAAATTAAAATTGTAGGTTTGTTCTGAATAACAAAAAGTGACTTTTATCAAAGTTATGCTGACAGTTTATTCTGTCTACAAAGAAGCAACTACATAAATACTGGAAACAAAAATCATAATAGAAACTAGAAGATTTTTTTCCAAATGTTTCCTTGCTTCAAGAGTTACAAAATTAACAAAAAAACTTCTGCAAACAGTATCACAGATTATTTATGTCTGATGCAAGTTAAGAAGACTCAACCAGCAGAGCATTTGTAATTATCTTTTTCATGCTTCCTTTAAATGTAATTAAAAAAGCTTATTTAGAAATACTGAAATGCTATAAAATGTAAGGAAAAATGAAATTGTCCTCAGGATTGGAAAGCACATAAAAATAGGCTGACATTAAGGCAACACTTAACAACTTAGGAATGGCTTTTAGCTACAATATTTCTAACTTACTTCAGTGATTATATATTAAGGATTCACTTTGTTTGTGAGAACTCAAAACCTTTGGTTTATAAAAGATCCACCAGATGGTTGGTAGATAACATAGAAAGGTAAGAAAAAAAAGTAAAGTGAAAAAAGTTTTTGAAAATCCTGAAAACTGTAGGAACCACAGTGACCTACCTAAGCATTTCTTTTCTTTATTTTATTCTTTGTGACAGTGCTTTAAAAAAAAATTAAAAAGAAAAAGATAAATTTAAGGGAACACTGAGGTTGAATTCTGAAATCATTGTGACAGTAAGTTCAGTTACTGTGTTGAACAATTCTCCAAAATGTAAGGCCACTGCTTTGAAAGCCTGGAAGTCTTAATTGGAACACAAGGTGGTGTCTACTCCTCTCTTTGCTGTTCCTCTCTACAGCCTTTTCAATGTCTGCATTACGATCTCATATCCCAAACCCTTGAGAGGTACCCCAGAAGTACTTAGATTGAATGTAAGAGCCAGGATTAAACGTCACCTCACACAAAGAACAAAACCTCACTGGCTTCTGTATTTGCTTATCACAACTTGTACACTGCATCTATTTATTTATTTATTTTTGTCAAACTTGGCTGCAGATTGTAATAAAGACAACAGATCCTCTATGCTATTCAGGTTTGATGATTTCTGAAAGCCACAATTCAAATTTCAGTAATAACCTGCATTTACTAATAGGGAAAATTAAAGGATAATATATCACACTAATTCATTATTGGAATATTGTCTGAATCCCATCACAAGTAGTGCGTATATGGTGATATATCTAATGTTCTGGCTTTTGCTACAATGACAGACCACTCCAAGTAATCACAGTAGGAATCTGCAAGATCCTGATGCTGGCTTTCGAGAAAGAAACCCGTATGGTCTGTTAGGATCTCACATGCATTTGAAGTTATTTATATTCTACTAGCAGAGGGAATTAAGAATGGGACTTTAAAAGTGTTAAAAGTTGGAAATGGATGGAAACTGTTCTACATATGCAGAAAGAAACAGGCCACAGATAAGGTGAGTGATGAAAATGGAGAAATTACAGAAAATATAGAAAAAAAAGAGCATAAACAATGGAAAGCCCTTGGTAATTTGTGCTGATGTTTACAAAATCCAGATGTAAATTAAACACATATTCAAGATAAAGAACTGCCTACACCTTTAATTGCCCAGCTAGATTAAAATAAGAGGTAGCTACTTTTTTTTTCTTAAAGCAATATGATTCCCAGAGCTGCAGTTACTCAGTGCTACCTTTTTCTGTCTTTGAACAGCTAAATCTCTCCAAGGAGAAGGAATGTTAATCCCACAGGAGGATCACCAGTGCTGTTGCAATAAAGTCAAGAGCTATTAAATGAATCAATGTTAGGTGTGCCAGAATTGGCATTTGGGACTACAAGCATAAACCCATCAAGTCTCCTGCCACTCCCAACTCCAGCTGCTGCTTCTACTGCTGGAAAGAGCAGACACGGTATATTTGTGCAGTAAAGAACGAAGCTCAGAACCAGTTTGTTTGGGTAGGCCACACAAGAGCCAGGAGCTAGGAGGAGACTTTTCTAGGGGATGAAAAGTGCAGATAAAATTTCTGAGCAAATACAGCCTTTCAAAAAGGGTTACTATCGGTGAAATAGAGGATTCAATTAAGATGGCATTCCTATTTTGCTAGGCAATGTATATAAGCAAGAAAAAATACAACAGCATTCAAATATTAAACATGACATTTTACATAGTAAGAAATAATAAAACCTACGTGAACTGCGTATGTCAAGTAAAGAGAAAAGAAAGTTCTGCTAGATCTTCTCATTAAGGTAGTTTTTTGTAAGCCAAATTAAGGAATGTATTTTGCTAGTATTTTTGACATCTACTCTGATGTTAGTTTCCATCATTACAGCAAAGCTACATTTCTATATATGTTTGTTAACTGCAAACTGATAAAAGAAGTCTTTCAAAAGCACTAATGATCTGGACATACTTTATGTATGTCCATATAAATAAAAGGCAAAAAAAAGTAGCAACAAGAAATTTTCAAGGCTCTGAGGTACATTAGGGATCATATTGTGGCAAATTGCATAACTGTAATATACCAAAAAGACAAGACAGAAAGAACAGCAGCAGTATATGAAACAGACCGTAGAAAGGCTGCGCCCAGTGAGTTATCAAGCAAACTTTATGGTGCTTGGTAAAGATCTAGCAATTTTATAATAGCTTTCAAACCACTTCAAGGTCAGATTATCTTTCTGTTTCGTATACAGAACCTGTAAAGAATTTGGTCATGGTTGCAGGTGATCAAGATTTCCTACCTAGGAAATTACACATCCAAATTTCAGTTGCTAGCTTACTGTCTTTACTGCAATACCCAGCTAGCAGTTCCTGTTCACAGAATATGCTCTGTTGAGCAATATCGAGCTAACAAGAGCACTAACACTTGCTGCTGGTTTATCACCCTACACAACACTAAGCGTGACACATCACTTACAACACGACCACTTCTAAATTATTTAACACAAAAAAGTGGCTCTGAGACAAAAACAAACAAACAAAACTATCAAGAAACTAGAGCTCTTGTAACGTACTCACATACTTACACAAACGATACCGCTGCAGAAATATTGTAAACAGGCTTCTAATTGATGCTCTAAGTACCAACTGAAGATGTTCAGATGACGGGAAGACACGACCCAAACCACTCAGAAAGGCTGTTGGAAACTGACAGGCTTTAATGTGTGCGCGGCTACCCAGCAGCTGCCATGCTGGATGTCTGTTGGATCGCGTCCCCCTTCCCCTATCAAGCAATGCCTTTGGCTTTGCGGTAATCCTGGATAAACGCTGTGAGAACTGACTCGTAACACAGCAGTGAGTTGACTCCCTGCTATTACATGGCCCTTGGCGCAATGGCGCCCAGAAGTATATTTTCCAATTATTTTGAATGCCCATTTTCAGCCTCCAGGTTCAGTAAGTCGCTCAAATGCGGGCACCAACCCTCCAACTGACATAACTTTACCTAACGATGGAAACCTTTGGATGGCTTGCGCACACGACGTAGGCAGGGAACACAACGTGAAGCTTATTTACAAGGCGCTGGCCGCCGCGGCTGTGCCTGCCCCACGCCTGATTTGGGTGCGCAGCGCACCCCCGAACGGCGCCTCCCTCGCCTCGCCCCCTTACCTGGCTCCCCAAAGCCTGCTCGGAGACCTGAACACCGGGCGCTAAGAGCCGAGCGCTGCCCGGGCTAAACCGGAGGGGCTCGGTGGCCGCCACCCGGCCGGATAACGCCCAGCACAGGGCCGCGCACAGCTGTCCGGGGGCTCCGTGCAGCGCCCACCCAACCCCCGGGCAGGGCGCCCCGCAGCAGCCCCCCGGGCACCCCACGACCCCCCCCCCCCCCGGTCCCTTCTACTCTGGGGGAGGCGACGCCCCCGCGCCCCCATTGGCCCTTCCCGTTTGCCCGCCGCTTCCGATTGGCCGCGCCGCCCGTCCGTCTGCCGCCGGCTGCCCCGCCGAGGGCAGCCCTCCGCGGCCCCTTACCTGTGCGGGCTCGGCTCCCAACCGCCGCCGCGACGAGCCCGCTGCCAGCCGGGGCGGGGGCCGCGCCGGGCAGAGCGGGGCTGGGCGGAGGGAGGAGGCGGGGGGAGCCCGGCAGCCCCTCGGGCGCGCAGGGAGGCCGCCGCCGCCGCCGCGTCTCCTGCCGGGCTGGGGCTGTTGTTGCTGGAAGTGGCGTCACGGCGGAGGGACGCGCTGGAAGCGGAAGCGGCCGTTGGGCCGCGCGGCGGCGGGCGCCTGAGGCGGGCGGTGAGTGCCAGGGCCGCGCCGGGGGTTACTGGGCTGAGCACCGTGGGGCACAGTAATAACAATAAAAACAAACGGAGCGTCGTGACTGCAGGCTTGAGCCTTTTTTTTTTATTATTTTTTTTTTTTTTCCATGAAGATAGTGCCAGGCAGTCATCTGCCCGATTCTAGCAGAAAAGCAAATGATAAATTTCTGCTCAAAGGCTTCACAGCTGAAATCATTACTTTTATGTAGGCTTTTGGGGAAATATCATGAAGGATAATGGTAATTATTCTGAAGGATAAACAGCAACTCTCCGTTGCCAGATTTTAGATCTCTCATGGCAGGTTTTTTTTTTTTCAGTCTCCCCGACCTCCACCTGAGAACTTACTAATCAGTACTGCTTGCTTTAAAAGTATACATTTTCTGTACTTTATCCCTTTGAAAAAGCTGTTCTGGGTGTTGGTGATCTCCTGCATTGTTGGTTCTATTTTGTTGTCATTTTTTTCTTCTTGCAGTCCTCCTTGCAGGATAGTTCTGCAGAGAGAGGCACCTCTTTGTAGTTTGTTTTGTGTCATTAGATGAGTCTGTAGTGTGAAGCAAAGCTCATAATAAAAGCAGGTTTTCAGCTTGAGCGTGGCAACGTAGAGGTTGAGCTGGACCTCTTGCTCATAGTTCCAGTTAGCTTAGTCCTATCTTGAAGTATCTGGGCAGCCTGTTGCTACACTTCCCCGTGAACAACTTTAAGCATTCTTAATGGATCATCTAAATAGAGAAGTATTGTCTGATTTGAAACAGCAAAGAAACTTATTCACTCATTTTTAGTTGATTTAGGCAGTCCTAAATTCTTGACATGCATTCAGATCTCTGTTTTTAAAGATCTGATAGTTGATGGGATTAGGCATTGCTACTTGATCCTGATACTGAAGGAATGAGGAAGATGAGTATTATTAGTATTGAGCCATAGCTCTGAGCTGTATTGTAACACTTTGGAAAGGCCTGTAGAAAAGATGAGCAGACACCTGTTAAATTTCAATGATAATTCTATTGCATTTAGTACTTTTAATGTTTTGTTTTGTTTTGTTTTGTTTTGTTTTTAAGGGGGAGAGTGTACGATATTACATCTATCTCATAATCTGAAAGAAGAATAGAATTTGGAATAATGGCAACAGGAGACCTAAAAGGAAGTCTAAGAAAAATAGAACAAGGACTTCGCTTGTTAAATTATCCAAGAGATGTAGATTATACAATGTAAGTAGCAGTGTGAATGAACTATGCTAATACATGATGACAGCAAGATGCGTAAAGAAAATATGTATAAATACTAGCTTTGCATCCAGTGATGAGTAAGCACAAAGGGTATGTCTATGAAAAGTTGAGGTTTGATAAATAGGGACTTTAACTAGAGGTAGTGCAATTTTGCTCATCTAAGCAATCCTTAGAATAATTCTAACGTCTACCACTATCTTGCTGCTCTTTCTTCTGGTGTTTTTTTTTTTTTTTTCCTGTTCTGTGATTAATCTGTCATCTTCCTTATTTCTTTGTAAGTGCTAGCAAAACTTTCCTCAGGAATTTTCATCATGTAAAAATCACAAACAAGGTGTTCAACGCTGAGCTAGAAATGCTCTTGGGCTTTAGACCTGCCAATGTTAGAATGATATGAGAGGTCACACAAAATCATTGTTTCAAAAGTTTTACACATAATAATAAGGACTGCTGAATGAGATACATGGTAAGTTCCTGTGACTCAAGATAGCTAGAGGAAAAACTTAAGAAGAAACAGTACAACTTGGGTGTGACATGCTGGCAGTATTAAAACACCTTTCAAGTAAAATGTTTGTAATCATGTAATTAAGGGCTTTTGTTATCTCCTGATATGTAAAATACTTTTGTGTCTCAACAGGTTAGTGAAGGGTGATCCAACTTCATTTTTACCTATCATCAGTTATTGTTTTACATCTTTCTCAACTCAAATAGCAGAACTTCTGGTAAAGTGTGATGTGGAGCTTACAGCAAAGAGTGACTTGCGTTTTATTGAAGCTATTTATAAGGTATCTATCTTCATATTCTTTGCAAAAGAGACACAATTTTGCGTATGGCCTCATAAAAACTAAACATCTAGTGAGAGTAAAAGTTTTTGGCAGTGAATAGGAACTGCAGTTCAGTTAAGATTTAAGATGAGTAGTGACTAAATGTAGGGCAAGTTTTTATTTAGATTTTCCTGAAAATAGGAAAGGATATTGTTGTTCAAATTTTAATTTTAGGACAGTCATAGACGCAGTAACATAATTGAGTTTTATTTTAGGTATGAGGAATATGTAAATATTTGTTGCACAATAAGTTACGTAGAGAGAAGTGACCTTAGAAGAAATCATAACCAGCAAAAAAAAAAAAGTAAAAGTCAGTAATTGTAATAACTGTTTCTTTGTTGTGTCTTTATTTTAAAACATCATGCCAAATTAATATTAGAAGTCTAGTTCTTAAGAGTTTATAAATTGTAATCAAATAAAATTCTTTAGGCTGAATCAAAATAATTTTACATATTCTTAAATGTAGACATAAGCATGTTTTATAAATGGAGACTGGATGTATTAACTAGTACTGGCTTATTCATACTAGCATTCCATACGAGGATAGCAGAGAATCCTTTACAAAGTCTCTATGTGAGCCTTAGTTAGGCCTCCGACTCATTTGCTGATATCAGTACAAACTGTTACTGTGCATTCACTGTGGAAAGGCTGTTTTTGTTTAATTTTTTTTATAATTAACATCTATAATAACTTAATGTTTTAGACTGACATAAATTTTGCAAGTGTGATGTGAACAAAATACTTCTGGAAGAGGTGTGTTGAAAATCTAGCCAGAAGAAACAGCTGAGTGTATGTAAACAACCAAATGAAAAAAGGATTCATTCTGAATTGCAGAATGAAAGAAAGATAAGAACCTGAGCAGGCTATTTTTACAATAAATTATATGGTGATTTTTGAAAGCAAACTCTATTTTGTTGCAGCTTCTTCGAGATCAATTTCAATATAAACCAGTTTTAACAAAACAGCAGTTTCTTCAGCTTGGCTTTGCAGAGCGAAAAATACAGATTGTTTGTGACATTATCAACTGCGTGGTGAAAAAGCATAAGGAATTAAGTAACTTGAATAAGGTACTAATCAAATGGTAACTTTATTATGAGGTATGTTTCTTCTGACGTATTGTTGGTGCTGCAGGTAGAAGGTGAAGATCAGTTTATCTGAAGATGAAGCATTACTGGTAGTCAAAGTAGGGGGAAAATTAGTATGAAGTTCCACCTACGATTTTTAGAGTGCTGTTGGGTATACAAAAGATGTGAAACTGACAATGCTTTGTAGTGTATAAACAAAATAGAATTACTAAAACAAAGATTAATCAAATACTTTAACTTTATGGTAGGTAGTGTATCTTCCGTATTTCTCAACATAGTGAATGTTTATGTAACTCAGACTTTACAGGTAGATTTTAAAAACAAAGCAAAATCCTCTGCTATGTTGAAGCTCTGGTAACATTTAATTAAAACATGAACTTGTGTTTGTGTTTTGGTGGTACACATCTTAAGTCCGATTATTAATCATGTTTGATGGACATTGTTAAAGTATTTTTATCATTGTATGTTACATTTAAAGACATCTTGATTAAAAAAAAAATCAGTCTTTGTATTTTACAGGAGTTTGTTTCATATAATTTTATAACATCTTCAGAACTTGTATTTATTTCATTTGTCACTTTAGGGAGCATAATTACATACTTTTTTTGTTCCTGAAGTTGAAGTCTTTCAACTTCTTCAGTCTGGAGAAGAGAAGGCTTTGGAGAGACCTTAGAATAGCCTTCCAGTACCTGGAGGGGACCTACAAGAAAGGAGGAGAGAGGGACTCTTTCACACAGTGTAGTGATAAGACAAGGAGAAATGGTTTTAAACTGAAAGATTAGGATAAAAGATTTAGAATAAAACTAATTACTCTGAGGGTGGTGAGGCAGTAGAACAGGTTGTCTGGAGAAGCTGTGGATGCCCCATACCTGAAAATGTTCAAGGCCAGGTTGGATGGGGCTTTGGGCAGGTTGATGTAGTGGGAGGTGTCCCTGCCTAGGGGATGGAATTGGGTGATATTTAAGGTTCCTTCCATTCCAAACCTTTGTGATTCTATGAACTTTGTTGCAAGTTGTCATTTACACTTGTGACTAACTTTGTTGCAGCCTTGTGTAGGTGTTACCAGTATAATGCATCCATTCTAACATCTATTTTTGTCTGTTACTTTAGTATATAATTTATTTAGACAGTGTTGTATTGAAGAGGTTTAAATGTCTTTGTGTGCTGTGCCTGTTAATGACACACCCTCCACCCCCCTTTTCAATTTGAAGGTTAAATCCCAAATGAGGAAGAAACTCAGACCTTTAAAGTGTGAAATATGGTCAAACTGTGGTACTGTCCCTGCTGGTCCCAATGGCAGTGCTGTGAATTCCAAACAGGTATGAATGTAGTTACATTGTATGTCTAAATGTTAATCTGATTTATAATCTCATCTCCCAGGCTCTTTCTAGAATATGTGCTTTCACTTAACTTCTAATGTTTGATCACACTAGGTATCTTTTTCAAAATTTCTGGTTTTGGCTGAGATAGAGTTAATTTTCTTCACAGTGTCTGGTATGATGTTGTGTTTTGGATTTAGGATGAGAACAATGCTGATAATGCACTGGTGCTTCAGTTGCTGCAGAGCAGTGCTTGCACAGAGCCAAGGACTCTTCAGCACCTCGTGCTGCCCCGCCAATGAGGGGGCTGGGGGCGCACAAGGAACTGGGAGAGGAGGGCAGCTGACCCAAAGTAGTCAAAGGGATGTCCCATACCTCCTGGTATTATGCTGAATGGGGAATACAGGGGAAGTTGGCTGGTGGGGCTGCCACCACTTGGGAAGGAGCTAGGCATTGGTTGACGAGCAGTGAGTAGGTGCATTGTGCATCACTTGTTTTGTACATGTTATTATTTATTATGATTACTGTTTCTTTCTTTTTTGTCCTATTAAACTGTCCTTATCTCAACCCACGAGTTTTACATTACCAATTCTTTTCCCCATCCCACTGGGAGGGAGGGAGTGAATGGCTTTGTGGTGCTTAGCTGCCTGCTGGGTTAAACCACAACAAGCTATTACAGAAAAAATTGTTTCTCTTTTACTGAGCAGCTGATCTCAGTCTCGATACTAACAATCTAGTACTGTTACCTATTAGTTGCATTATACAAAAAAGGAGGAACAGTAATCAAAATGAAGATCCAATTGGGAAAAAACAATATACATCCTTTTTGGAGTTTGAATTGTGTTTGGCTTGACGTGCTGGTTTCAATGTAGGTTTCAAAACACCTTTTACTCTTCAGGTATGTGTGCAAGTATATTGAGAATTCCCTTGAAGAAAAGAATTCCAGCTTCACTAAAACACGTAGTAATCTGCAAGTGTTTAGATAGTGCACAAAGCTCGTAATTATGGATTCTTAATCATTAGGTATTTTGTACTGTGAGAGGTAGAGAGCATAAGACTTGGGAAGAAGGGCAGAATTTGTCTTTCGCTCTCTTGGAGGAAAGTATTCAAAGGTACTGAAACATGTAGCTAATAGGACTACTTCGGCAGTAGCCAAGGAAAAGAGTTCCAAGCTTCCTAGTTCTATTTTTTTTTTCTTTCTGAATGGTATAGAGGTAGTTTTAATGTTAAAACTGTATTGTTTCATGCCTCCGTTCATACTTTGAAATCTAATAACCTGAGAAATCATTAATGATTTTTTTATACAATAAGAAAGGCAATTAATGATTTCAGTACCATTCAAGAAATACCAGGGTATTCAGTAGCTGTGGTAAATGGTGTGAATATTTGTTTTACAATTCTTTCACATGTATGTGATTACTTTTCAAAACTTCAACTGTAATTACTTTCTATGTTTTGCAGCCAGTTGGGAAAAGTTTGTTAGATAAACACCTGGCCTTTTTTTTTTTTGTGATAGATCTTTTTTTTCTGTTACCTGTCTGAGGAATTGCAGTTTCTTGTAATGATCAACACCAATGATTTTTTTTTTACATGCTCAAAAGGTACCTCAAGTAGAACGGCACTCAGGGAGTGAAGTTAGCGATGACCTTCATCCAGCGCCCCTTTGTTCAGCACCGCTTCATCCACCACCCCTTCCAGACGAGGGAGGTAATGAAGAATTGTGCATAGATGATGATGTTGTGGAAGTTAAATGTGAACAAGTAAGATTTTTTTTATTTAAGATGTCCATGTGTATTCTTAATATTTCTTATGGGACTTTTCTAAAGAGGGGAGGCTTTAAAAAAGATAGCTGGATTCTTCTTAAATGTAACTAGTAGATACATAACATGATAGGGGGGATAAAAAAAAGTCAAAGTCTCTTGTCTTTACAAGAGACAATTCTGTTAAATTTCTATAAAAGCTTAGTTCTGTGAATGCTGTTAATGACAATTCTAAAAGATTACTTTCTAAACGTAGCACAATGTGGTTGTTGAACATGAGGAAAATTCCACTTAGCTTATTTGATCAAACTATGAATTATATCTATGTCAAAATCAGAGAATGTGTTCTTATCCGTGTTTTCAGGTCATAGAAGATAATTCTCAGATTGAGTTCCTAAGGACCCAGCTTGCTGATTGCCAGGAGAAGCTTCATAAACTAGATTGGATTGAAGATAGGCTACATGCTGTAGAAGAGCGACTGAAAGGAAAGATTACTATAGACGAGAAGGACTGGAATAATTTGTTGAGCCGAGTTTTGCTCCTTGAAACAGAATTACTGGTGCAGTCCAGAAAGGTATATCAGCTTCCATTTTTCTTCTATAACAAAAAGGCAGATATAACTATCAAAATATTTTTTTTTTAGTGTTATGTAGACGTTACCAGATAACAGAAGTGTTGCCAGACACGGCACTTACAGCCTGTTTATGCTTTTCTCGCCTCCTGATGTATGCCCTTTCCTATTTTTGTAGGGGTGATCTTGTATTCAAGTGCTGTTCATGGAGTTGGTGATCTTTTTTTTCTTTAACTGTGTAGTTCTGTTGCTTTCTCATGCTCTGAAGTAAAGCTCTCCATTGGAAAAGGTTTCCTTTCAGGAACAGCAGGTATAGCTCAGCGTATTTTCATGAGTAATGACCATGTGTGGTTTTTATTTGTTAGTGAACTTTTAGAAGGAAGCTTTTGTAGACTTGTAATTATACTATACTTTGAAAACATACCATTTCTGTAGTGGAGGATTTCATTATGTTAGGGGTACATTTAAGCTTGCTTTTTTTTGGTCCATATCATCAAATTTTATCTCATACTGGACTGCAATTGTTGTTGCAGTAATTTATGACGTAGTGCTTTTTCCACTGATTCAGCTGAATTCATATCTTTTAATTCTCCAGACTGATCTCTAATCATATACATCTGAAAGATTGTCTTCATTCTATATATCTAAAGTTGTCAAAAATAAGTGGTACAATGGAAAATAAAGAGTTAATGGGAAAAGTTAATTCCCTCTTTAGTCCTACTGGTATTTTGAGGCTATCTTGTAAATTTGTAGCCTAACTGGTCTTTCTCCCTTTTGCTCTTCCCTCCCATTTTCTTAAGCCTTACTGAAGATGCTCGTTGTATTTTTAAATGTGAAAAGGTACTGTAACTGTGATGTGGCTGTATTTGACATATATGTCAGAGCAAATCAGGTGTTTTCTTACATTGAGACTGTCTTATTTCTCATGGTATTGAAACACCTTTGTATAAAGACACACATTACATAATTTCATATATGTGCATGTGTTTTGAGCTGCAGTGACCCATAGCATCAATTTTGCCATTGCATGCTTGATTTCAAAATGTATTTGCATGTGTATCCAAAGGATACCAGGAGAATCTTTTCAGAAGTTGAAAACTTACGAAATACAGTTGATCAGTGTTTCATTTTTCTGTAGGTGTAAGAATGTTGAACTTACTTGTAATCAGGACCTCAGAGTGTATATCTGGTCCTGCAGTATGAAAATGTCGCTAATACTTGTATATAGTGTATAAAGACATTTTAATATTTTTTTCCTGTGTTTCTTGAAAGTGTGCTAGTAACAGAAAGTCGTGAAATAGACAAGTGTTCAGACTAAGTGCTGGCATATTTCTGAAGGTTGTAGTTCAGACAGTAATGACTGACATTATCAATTACTTTTTTTGCTTAAGAGTTTCAATGGCTACTTTTGACAGCAGAATGGGAAGTCTTGTGATTCAAATTAGTCTTTTTCCTTAATTTCTGTAAATTTGGTTTATTATTACTCTGGTATCATATGTATTGAAGTAGTTCAGATATCTGGAATACCTGCTATGAAAATCTTTAATACCACTCAAAAATTTCCATGTCTCTACTAGATGTTACTGTAAGAAATTATCTGCAGAAATAATTTTGATTTTGGTTTGTCTGTGGTATTGTCTGTGGTATAAAGAAGCAGTTTTTACATAAAAAAAAAAGTCTTAAACTGTAACTTTTTTTTTTTTTTCAACAGTCTCTTGAAAACTGCCAAGAAATAACCCTTTGGTTCAGAGAGTTGCTTCTGCTTTGTTTTTATGAAATTCCATCCAAGTTGTTCCTCGTAGATACAGAAGCAATTCAGAATTACTGCTTTCTTCTTAGTTTTGCATTTTTCAGGGAATTTCTGGCATCTAGCCAACATAGCAGGACCACTCTAAGATCTGTATTGCACTGCTGCCAAAGTAGCAGCAGCTGTGCATTTAACTCTGGGAAAATCTGAAAGCTGCCAAATCTGTTCAATGAAAGCAATTGGGCAGAAGGAGTCAGTGCAGATAATCTTTTTTTTTTTTTTTTCTCCTCTGCCTTCTCTTAATTGCAGTTGTCTTCAGCTTGTTCCCACACAACACCTACTAATTCTTCCTCATTTACTTGGATATAATTCCCTGTAAACTGATACAGTTAGTCCAGTATATAAAGTGATATATTTTACTGCAGGGTGAGATTTGAAATTATAATAATAGTTACTGGTTTAAAAAAAAGTCTGTTTTTGATTTTTTTCCTAAACTTTGAAATTAGGAAATTGGACATGTTTGTTGTGAGTAGAACATCAGTTTTGATTCCTTGTTTATGAACAACCTTTTCTAAACTAGATTGAGTGGAACTGAGAACCTTTCTAGAAAATAACGGTCTCATTTAGGAGCCTGAAAAACTAGCTTAAACTAGACTTTTGAGTTCTAACCATTTAGCTGAAATGAATTTCAGTTCATCTTTACAGTGATTTCTAGGACTTCAGGAGCTGCATTTCTGATTATCAACTGTAAGTGGAAGGTTTGCTTACTTTAAGCTTCACAGCAGCCACCATCAAGATATAACTGTTAGCACAGGCTAAGTACAGTGTAACTGTTCATATCTGTGTAGTGCCAACATACTTGGATTGGTGTAGCACACGCATGCATATTTGGTACTTACGTATAACTTTGTTCAGTCAAAAGATGTCTTAAACAGGATATAAGGCTAAAATGCAGTAAACTTGTATTTCAGAGAGACTTGTCATCAGAGTTCAGCAATGTATGTCAAGAACGTACTTCTAATACGTTTCCAGATTCTCCTGGTGAGTATTAATTTTTTTTTTTTTAAATTAAGCCATACGCTAAGCACTTCTTGCTGACCTTGGCTAAAACAGTGTTTTTTAACTAGACAGTTGTGATTTAGAGACCTTTTAATTTAAATGCATGCTTCAGATAAGAAATGAATCTGCTAGCAATTTAATGTTTCTAATTTATTCTTTAGAAGCTGTATTTACTCCAATTGTTTTAAACTTATTAATGCAAATACATGGCATATTAATTTAGTTGTAAATAACACTCTACCAAAAGTCTCAAATGCAAATTTAAGGTGCTATAGAGTGAAAGCTGTGAAAAGTAATAATGTTGGCTGCACTTCAAAGCAGTTACAATGTTTTTTTAAAAAAAATATAAATTTTTCAAGTACAAAATAAATTTGCTGCCATGGGTTTATTATATCTAAAATAGTTGTATGCTTTAAGTTCTATTTACTTATAAAGGGGCTCAGGGAAAACTGAAGTTTTTTGTTTATAATCTATGCTGAACGTTCTCTGTAGTTTCATCCCTTTTGAAAAAACAGCTATCCTCACTAGCTTTTGCACTGAGCTTTCTTATCTTGAATACCACAGCAAAACCTTTTTTTCAGTCTCCTGCTAAATTTTGGAATACACAAGAAGTCAATGAAACAGTGTTAAGTGGGAAGAAAACTAAAAATATTCTCTAGTTCCGAAGTAATTCTTATTTATTAATGGTAGCTTCTTAGCCTATATGTTTCCTCACTTTAATTTGGTCCATCTCCTCTATGGTGGCTATTATCCCTATAACCATTAGTTATAGAGTATTGCATTTTGTATTCTCATTTATTAGGCCTTTTTGTCCCCTTCTGGGATACTAGATAGAGACTGGAAAGGAAACTAAGAATTTACTTATATTAATCTGAGTAATTCAGTTTCCTTGGAAATTTGGAAGGCCTCTTTACAGACCTTTTTACGGACTTAAACAAACAAAAACAAACCTTGCCACTTGTTTACTTGCTTTTGTATGTTCAGTGATTTATTATTGACACTTGAGGACGTCATAGTCAGCAAGTAGGTTGATGTCTTTAAAAGGTAACCTTTATGTTTTCAGATTTAGAGAACTAATCTGGATTTTCCAAAATATGATTCAGAAAATTGTAGGTTTAAAGGCTGTGCAGCCAGTCTTGATGCTTATATTGAGGATATGCAGTACTCAGAATGCATTTTTTTGCTTGTAGTGCTCTTCATGAATCGCTACTGTATTGAAGGAACACTTGTTAATTTTAATTGATTAAAATAATACATTTCAAGTACAGAGTAGTGTAGCTGAACATGTTCCAGAGTTTTTATCTGTAGATGGATGTAAGACTAAAAATAAGGACACAAACACTCGTTTTAAGTACTAAATTTAATTTTCCCTGACAATACTATTCTGAATTAAAGAATATCAAAGCCTTCCCAAAGTAGAAGATAGCATGCAGCACCCATTCATCAGAAACAGACCTAAAACTAGTCCAATGGGAGCAGAGCTAGGGAGACAAAAAAACTTATTTTTAGCTAAGTAAGTGATGACTTTATATTTTTGCTGCTTAAAAGACAGGTTACCTTGCAGAAATTAAAAAACATGTTTGAACAGGTGATTCACAATACAAATAATGTGAACATTCTGAAATTACTCTTAATATTCAATCCAGTAATTAAAGTTCATGTGTTGATTTTACTGTAATCAGGATAAAAGGTAGCCTTCCTAGATGATCTTTTTGGAATTGGTCTTGTGTTATACATAATATACTCTACCTACCCTTGTTTTAAGAAATGAAAAAAAAATAGTAGCTTTTTTTTCCCTCTCTAAACAATGCATTCTCTTCTGTTATTACATACTGTAAATCAAGCTATTTGATAGCTGACCTTGCAGTAAGAGAGCAAAAAGGCAAAGGTGACATAAAAATGAGTCTTTCTCAATAGATACAGAAAGGAAGGAGGAGATGCCAGAGAGTCTTCATCAGTCGTCTGGATACAGTTCACTATTATCCACAGACGCATCTCCTAAAGCCATGACCATTAATTCTCATGGTCTGACAGACATTTCAAAGGTAAGTAAAACTGGCAAGTGCTTAGTTGATTTCCTTTGTGGGGTCAAGAGAACAAGTAAGCATTCGTTTTAGTTGTATATACTACAAGTGAAAAACAAGGAAACTATGCAAAACTATGTCTAGGTCTGTCTCATAAAAATCCTTTCAATATGTAAACAGTGCTTAAAGTTACATTTTCTCAATGAATTTTTCAGGTTGAAAGTCCATCTGAAGAATGTTAGCTTTGAAGAGTTCACTAAACTTGTTGCTTTTAAATTGCAGGAGACAACAAGAGAAAGAATGGAAAGGATAAGTAAAATGTAAGTAATAGGAAAGGGCAGCAGGAATTCATTTCCCAGGAGGGAGTTGTACTGGACTGGACTAAGGCTTATGGAGAACGTACATATGTGTTCCAAACCTCAAATGTCTCTACATAAGGTGTGGCATTTCCTTATGACTCCACTGGATAATAAATCCACTTAAAGTTCTGTATTTTTGGGATGAGTCACTGTTTTGGTTTCTAAAAAGTAATAGAAAGCATTGTTACTAGTACTAACTGGAGATTAAAGAGTGTTTAGAGTTTGATTGACAAGGAATAGTATCTTTTGATAGAAGTTTCTGGAATGAGCAACTTTGCCTTTTACTGTATTTTAATAAGCATGTGTGAGTGTGTAAACTTTTTTTTTTTAATTTTCAGAATAGAAGAAACCTCAGAATTGTTGAAAACCTCAAGTAAGGCTTCTGAGAAGACTTGAAAGAACAGGTCTTCAGACCTGGTCTCTGTAGACTTATGGATATCAAAATTAATATGTATGTTTGTACAGCATTAAATTTTTAATATATTGCTGGTGCTTATACTCCTTTCAATAAATATCTTTTAATGCATCCGTGTATTTTTTTTTCTCCCTGACTTTTGATTTTAAAAATTGTTCAGATAACTTCCACTCCACCCCAGTCTTTTTGTGATGTGAAGTCATTAGAGCAGTGTATTTTTGTGTTGACATTTGTTAGCAGTGTGCTAACTAATATGTTTTTTAAAGTGTGAGGTTGAGGACCGTGGTTTACATCCTGTTAGAAACACTCCAGCTGGAACTTGCATATTGTACCCAAGAGGCTTTCTTACATACCATCTTACCATCTGTACTGTTAAATAAGTCTTAATGAAAACTTAAATACATGATTTTAAATATGTACCCTTTTTACCGTTATTTTATTTATTTTTTTTTTTAATAAAAATTTTCATGCCTAGCTGGAGCACACCAACACGTTATGGATTCCGTTAACACTGACAAAGTGAGGGTCAGTTTGATCCTAAGCACTGAAATATGCAAGTCAGTCCATAGACTTCGACTGCGAGAGATGTGTTGAGTGTTTTAGTACTGTTACCCAACACATTTTAAGACCAGCAGCACAGATGGAGACCATCCAGTATACAAAGATACAAAACACTTCTATGATTTGAAGCCATATTAAAATTTCTCTTTAGAGATATAAGTAGGTATAAGACTTCTATAAACATTATGTAATCAAACCAAAGAGGCGTGGGGTATGATAAGATTTATTACACATATGCCTATCATATCAGGATTTCTTTGTGCTATAATACCCACTTCGTGTAAAAGGTTTTTGGAGTTTGATATCATAAAAATTGGTGGATTTTTTTTTGGCAGAGTTTGTAGATGAAGGCAAAAGCAGCTGTTCGACATTATGATGTAAAAAATGATTTATGTGTTTTAATGGTAATTACAATTCTTTTCTATAACCATATGGAATTTAAGTTGACTATTTTACATATAAAGAGCAACGTATGTGGATCCATTATGCTCTATAAACTGGAACAAGAGTTTTTTTTTTTTTTTTTTTTTTTGAATTTTGCATTAGAGCTCTTTCTTCACTATACTTGTTTCAAATAAATAAATACAAGCTAGATGATGTGAACTAGTTTTGCCGTTTTTGAAAACAGACCTTGTAAATTACTTCATTAACCTAACAATGAAATGATTTTTTTTGTAAATGTGAGAAGAAACCACTTAAATAGAAAATAGGTGCTATCTTCCTAAAATAGGACTGCAGCACCATCTTGTGGAAAAAATTTATACAAAATAATAAGCAGAGTAGGAAAAAAGTATCCAATTATAAACACTGTTTTAAACTAATAATGGTCAAACACTTAAGTCACTTTCAATGATTAAGATCTGGTACTTAATTTGTATTGCAGATTACTCAAATTTGGTTGTACTGAACTGTGAGACAAGCTGAGTTCAGTTATATCCCAGCACTTAAGCCTAATTTGAGTTGGTTTTCATCATTAGAATTGTATTCAAGCTGAGGGCTGTGATTACAGTGTGCCCTAATTCCTTATGAGTGTATCTAGTTATCTTAATTATTCTTGGAGTTACTTTTACATGTCTAACAGTAGTTAGCAGAGACATCTTTGAACTCCAAAGTCAAAATAATTGTTGCTTTTTTTTTGTCTGTTAACCTGGTGTAATTGTTAAAAGAGTTTTGAATAAATACTCCAGTACTGTATTTTCTATCTTTATTTTTTTTAGCTTCTGCTGCTGGTAAAATAGTAATAGTGTGACTTCAGTTTAGCTATCCTTGGTGGGGGTGGCAGTTTTCTTACTGTGGAAGATCAAATATGTGATTGTTCAAATGAGCTATTCCTTTTAATTTCTTAAAATCAAGAATATGTGTAGAGTTGGGGAAATAGCTGTCTGGTGCCCATATACTTCACAATAGGTATCTTTTTTTTCTTTTTCTTCGTTGCTGAAGTTGTTATTATGTATGGCAACTAATTTGTTCCCCCTTTCCCATTGTTTTTTTTTTTTTTTTTTTTTTTTACGAGTTACATTTATTTTTGTTTTGTTATACTCATGAAAAGCTAGGTACAGCTAAAATCAGAGATACGGTGACACTAAAATTCAAGAGGTGCATTCTTGTTTTGTGAAGGTTAGATTTCCAGAGGAGGAATAAAATATGGTGATAAAAATGTGAGAAGCTGCTAATATTAATGAAATTAATTTAGTTACTTTTTATTAGAGATATTTAAAATTCTTTCTCAATCATCAATGTTCAGAAGTTAAACCAGCTTATTTTTTATCAACTGCGTGTTTTGATATGGGATGTTAGCTTTTTTCTAACAGTCTGAGTTGTACTTTCTGTGCACTATATGTTGCAATTTAAAATTATGTATTTGACATTACATTTATCATTCCAAACACTTTATGCCAATAGTTCCTTCTCAGTTTCTCTGTCGGAACTTTTTAAAACTTTGTATGGTAAAAACCTAAGGAGTTCACCCATAACACTCAGACAGCACAATAAGCTTTGTTAAGAAAGATATTAGATCTGCAAAAAATGTCTCATAGTATATTAAAGTGTTTCATATACCATGGTAGTATGTTGCTTCTGTAGTCTCTAGGCAGATCTGTGCAACAGAGGTCTGTTTTTTTGTTCTTTGTAAAATAGGATGATGCAGTTATGCCAGAGGAACAATCAATGCAAGGGTAGTTATAAAAATATTTGGCAATATTTTTACGTGTACTTTGATTAACCTATTTCTAAATACCCAGGCATTTCATTATCGTACAGCAAAGCATTCACTTGGAATAAGACAACAAGATTTTTTTTAGTGAGCAAAATTTAATGAAGTTATTTCCCATTGTGTTTTAAAAGAATGCATCTTCACTACAGCTTAAGAACAAATCTGAAAGGTTAATATTTTTCTCTTAAGGATACATATGTTTTTTCTTGTTTGTTTTGTTTTTAACTTGATTTCCCTTGGCTTTAAATCTAGGATGCATTTCTCATTCAGTCTGCAATTAAAATACACAGAACTTGAAATACAACAGACTACTTTTTTCTAACACTGACTTCTGGTCTTATATGTCTTGTTTAATTTGACAACTAGCAGAACTGCCAAAAAAATAATGGAATTAATGAATGTCTTAGTGTTTCCTTACCACTTCCAGACATAATAAAATACTTCTGAGCATATTGTGTCTAGATCAGCTGTTCAATACATGACCTCCTACACTTTTGCAGTAAATTAGTGCAGTTTGGGGTGTGAGAGGTTGGTTGATTTGGGGAGCAGGAGGTATCTAACCAAGAAACATCACTCTTCGCACTTTTCTTTTTTAGTTAGAAAGCTTGGGTTTTGTGGGTACAGGGAACATACTTTTATGCTAGGACTTACAGATCCCAGTAGTCTTGGGAGGAGTGGTGGGAGATAGAAGTCAAAGTTTATTGGATCTAATGCCTGAATAAACCTTTCAAAAGCTTAAAAAGAAAACAAAGATAATAACAAAATAAAAACACAAAACCTTTAAGTAAAGGTACTCTACTAATGCATGTGATATTTTGGAGCAGTTGAAGGAAATTATTTAAAATGTTTGTGATTTGAGCGTTTCAAATGGGGGAAAGATATCATCATAATATTAACTATATGATATTTTTTTGCATGAGTATCCTGGCTTATTTCATGAGATGTAACAAACTCAGTAGCTTTGTATATGCAACATGGCCTTATTTAAATGTAGAAGATGCTGTATTTTTGGTTACAAAACTCTCATTCTCTTTAGACACCTTCCAGAGCAGATACTTGATTTGGAATTGGTAATGCTTTTTATAATCTGGGAGTAAACTGCTCTAATTATAGGTTTACAACAGCAAGCAGTAATGTGGAGCAATGGTGTTCTAGTGCAGCAAAAGGAGTCATTTTTCCCCTCACCTTTACCTTTCAAGTTATCATGAAGTTAACTTTATATGCAATAAAATAAAATAACTTCTGATGATTAGCTCCACCACCAGAGTGTAGTTTTTCCCGTTAAGTTTATAAGGATTAATTTTTATCAAAAATGTTATCAGAATATTATACCTCAGGGTATTTTAATAAAAGATACAATTATATTTCTAAAAAATGCTGCAAGGTTTTCTTAAATTTTCATGGTTGTATTTCTATTCTGATCTTATCCAGTGTTGCTGCACTTCATTGAATGCATGCTGAAATATGAACTGGGATTAAGGGGAATACAGTTAGAGAGCCTTGAATGCTTTCTGTGAATGCTGAGAATAGTTTCATAAAGCTGAACTATTGGCAGTACCAGCTTAAGGGATTTCCTTCCTCTGGTTCCCATTCCCATCTGACTGTGCTGTGAACTGCATTTCTTAGCTGTTGTGACTTACATATACTAGTCTGAAAATATGACATGCAGGGTATTGTATTTTTTTTTTTTTTTTCTATCCACATCCACAGATAGCTCTGTGATTCACCTTATGACACGCCATACAAACGTTTGTGTCTAAACTTCCAATTGGAGCAGCATACTGTGCTATCAACAGGTAACTGGGCAGCAGGAGAGAGGATGTGTCAGGTTAGAGTTTTTACTGCTGAAGAATTTTTCTCTGAGCTCATAGTAAACCAGAAGTGAAAAAGTTCTCATGCAAAGTCTTGACATTTACATTCGTGAAATCTTGTGTTGTTTTTTTTTGTTTTTTTTGTTTTTTTTTTTTTTTTTTTCACGTTTAATTCATGTTCGAATTGACCAAATGAAAGGGCCAATGTGTGTTAGAAAGAACATGTAGAATAGCATTACAGGGAATCTAATTCTGGAATTGGGTTTGCTTTCAAGTTTTAAAATAGCTCTTTGTATTGCATGTGCTTCTGATTTTTTTTCCCAGCCTTGTGGGTTTAGCCTCTTAGTTTTCTTTGTGTTTTAAAAAAATAAATAAATTAAAAAATAAATTACTGCCCTCTTGCTAAATAAAGGGACCATAAAATGTACTGTCAAATGCAAAACAAATCCTTAGGGAATATGTTTGGTAACCTTTTGTATTATGTTACAAACATATATGCACATGTAAAGCATAAGAAATAATATTCTGTTTAGAT